TATCTACAGCCGTTAACGCCTGACCTGGAAACTTCAGCATAACTATGTTTTGCTGTGACAGTCTTTGATCTTTTAGATGCTTGTTAAAGGTATTGGAAGCTATGTAAATACTGGGCAGTGCTGATAGGATTTAAACAGAAATAAGATGATCTTTACATACTGAGCCCTTGGCATAAATAGGTGAAAAATGGGAGCTGTCTGTAGCTGCCCATTGGAACTAGCAGTGCTTCAGCATTGCTGCCCCCTTCCAGGCTGGGAGGGCCAACATCCCAGGGGCAGAGCAATAGCAGCAGCCCCTGCTCAGAGAAGAGCTGGTGTGCAGTTAAACAGCTCCACGTACCCTGTCTTTACAGAAGGTGTAGATCATAAGTTTTGGGGAAAAATCACTTGTATATGGGCTTTTTTCCTCCTAAAGATGTTTTATAATATTTTTACTCTATACAGCACTGTTCTGCAAATAATTGGTTGTGTTGTGCTTTGTGTTTCCATGTACAGAAGGGAACTTTTTCTGCCAATAGTTTCTTTCTTGTACAGAAGAAGGGTCAGTGTTAAGAGCAGTGATATTCACCTTGCAAAAGATAACAGATATGGGCAGAGAGGAAGTACAGTTAATAGAATTTCCCTATTTTTGGTGATGTTAGACAAAAATGATAATACAATTTAGCACTTTGTTGCATCCTGATTTCCAAGGCTTACTTTTGCTCTGAGGGGGTGGGATGTGCAGCTCTGGGGTGTGACGATTCAAGGGGATCATTTATTGCAAAGCCAGGTCGTAAGGGGTGGGTTTTGGTACTAAAATGTTCTGTGTTTATAGGCTATTAGAGATGCCCATTCGCTGTGGGCATCCCCAGAGCACTCTTTCCTGGTACTGTGATGTTACAAAACCTGTGTGAACTGATCCCTGTGTTCTTTGTTTTCTGTTAAATACCTATTTTAGGAGGTGAAAAGAAGTATAGAGGGATTAGCTAAACTAGTGATTAAAGCCATGCTCAGCAAGGTGATGGCCCAGTCCTGAACCTGGGAATTGTTAGAAGTTAGGAGGACCACTCTAGTGATCTTCTTTTTAGTCTTCTAACCTCAATATAAATGGCACTTAAAAGGTAAATCCAACATTATATATATTCTGTTTATGTGGTTAAACATACAAATGAATAGGTTGTTGTAACCTGTGCCATGTCTGAGATGATGC